ATTGCCTTATGGTTAAGTAAATATTGACCATATAAAAACTTGATATGTTTTGAAAGATTTTATGGAAAATATGAGTAGACTTGTGATATTATATGGAATTCACAATATTTGATTGAAATTAATTTTGATTTAATTTATATTGATGAGAAAATAGTTTAGGAAAAGGAAATAGTTCATGCACATTCCATAATTTTGATGGTCCATCTATGAAATGGATAGCTCAGATCTTTGACCCCACAAGTCACCATTGATCGACGGTCCATGTTCAATCTCACTCAAGAGGTAAACTATCCTTAAACCTAATTTTGCACTATAAATAGGGGTGTACCCCCTACTCTCTATACCTTTTCTCTTTTTTCTCTCACAACTCTCTCTCTTTCCTCTAAGGGCACACCACACTCTCTCTCCTCTTTCTTTCTCTAGATCATATAGGGGGTACACCCCAACCCTAGGGTCTACCCCATTCTCTCTCATCTTATATGCTATGGGTTGGGAAGTATGCCAAACCATTTTGGAGTTAGGATCTAGGCTTGATGAGTTACAAAAGGGTTATTTAAAATAGTTTGGCCGAAATTTGTTTTCTTAGTTCAAGATTGAAGCTAAACCGTTGATCCCGCGTCATCGGATGGTGATGACTCGGTGTGGGATGTAATAGTCAGGTTGAGGTAATCTCCTACATTTTTCTTTTTATTTCTTGCAATCTTATCTTTTATTCTCAAGCATAGTGCATAGTTGTTTCAATGGCATCAAGTTTTAAGATCTTGGTTTTATTGTTATGTTGATTTTATTTTGAATTTCATGTTATTGTAATAAGACCACCTGTAAGTGTTCTTTTGCCAAAATAAAAGGGGTGAAATAAAAAATAAATATATATTATTCCCCGGTAAAAGATCACATAGGTCTTTTTTTCATCTGTGTCAAAATTGTCCTACTCACATGGTTGTGGGAGGGTCTCATAGAGTCATTACTCATATATATATATATAGAAGATGCTAGGTGAGTCCACTAGCGCACAGGAAAAAATGAGCTGAACGGGCCAAATTGAATCTGGGCCGATTTGACGATCACAGATGTCCGGTAGTATTTGAATTTTAATATTTTCATCTACAAATCCAAATCATTTGAAATTTTAGACGTGTGTACATAAAACATATGTGAATATTCGAAAAATATCAAAAAAATATTTTACATAAATTGACCAAATACCCCCGAAAAGTTTCGGGGGGTATTTTGGTCAATTTATTTTTTGAAAATTATTTTTTTTATATTTTTATTAGGTGAGTATTGATGAGAAGAATACACGCCTAAAATTTCAAGTGATTTGAATTTTTAGTATCGAACATCTGTGATCGTCATATCAACCTAGATTCAATCTCGGTTATTAGGTTCATTTTTTATTGTGAGCTAGTGGGCTCACCCAAACTTTTCCTATATGTATATATGAGAAATGAACTCATATGACCTGTTGACATGTAATAAAATTACACTTCTAGAAGACCATAATAAATGTGTTTGTTTGCTGGTTGACGCGTTAAGTAGAATCCTCATCCTGCGATGTCGATAGTTCATTACTTTGTAAGCTTCTATGGAACTTTGTTTTTCTCTTTTCATCGCAATGACAAGAGAATGATGAATCAGATAGGAAGCATAGCATTTGACTTAACTTTATGTATAAAATTTAATAATACATATAAAAAATATTGAAATATAAAGAAATAATTAATAAGATAATATATGTGTTTGTGCGTTGAATGAAGCACAAATATGCATGGGCTCGTATTGATGGACGTTGAGAGATTCAAAGGATATCCAGCATGCACAGCTAATATCCCATATGTAACATGTGTTTGGCAATGTGCCGGGCCAGCGCCTTTGACCAGGCCTGGCCAGGGTGGATCCCTATAGGCCCTAGCTTAGCCACTGGGCCATGGCTTTGGACCCTAGAGTGGTCCGTGCTGGGCTGGGCTTAATATAAACAATTTCTTTTAGGAAAAATAAAGGAACCTATAGGGCAGGGTTGGCCCTTTCATGGCCCAGGCCTACGCCCACTTGGCCCTTGGAACATGGTGGCCAGGCTATATTTTGTGACCCGGGGTTTTGGGATAGGTAATGGATCATATCGACCGGCCAACCCGACAGATAGACCCGACTTTGGTCTGGTCTAGATCCTATTTTTCAACCCAGTGGGTTTGATCTGGGTCAAGAGTAGGGACCCGACATCATGTCAGGTCGAGTTCATATCTAGATTGACCCAGCCTGAACCTGACCCGACCCAAATAATGTAGATGTACTGTTTATTTTATTACAATAATATTGCATATTAGATAACCTACTATTATTTCACTATATAGTTTATATACTATATAACATAATTTTTATATTTATGCAATATCTAAAGGGATTATTAAAGAGAAGGTTTCTCCCTCTTCCCTTCGACCGTTATTGTTCATTGTTGAGAGTTAAAGGCAAAAGAGAGTGAGAGTCGCCCTCTTTCCTTCTACTGTTTTTATTCGATGGAAAGAGAGACTTTAAGCCGTGCTTGACCCGATTGGGTCTACGCCCTGTTGACCTTGACTTCACTGGGTTTAGATCTAGGTCCAGCTTGGATCCTATCAGGGTGGATTTGGTCGGGGTTGAGGCCAATCCAATTTAAATATGTTAGTATAAATTACATATTAATGACTCTAATTGTGTAGTATAAAATATATAAATACATTTTCTATAGTTTTTTATTTATAGACCTGATCCAGTCCAGGTCCAATTGATTTGGACCCGACCCAAACTCAAACTGGGCTTTGGTCTAGTCGGGTCAGGTCGGGGTCGGGGACGGGGTTGACTAGAACCTGGACCAACCTGATCCATTCCCACCCCTACCCGAGCTCTACATTTTTAGGACCGGGCTGACCAGTCTAGGCCAAGCCATCGGCCCATTGCCAACGCTAAATTAATATCCCTGAATTGTCTGCGAGACTATTCCTTCAAGTGATATCTCCACTATCCACTCAAAAAGAATATTTTTTAAAAGGGAAACCTTTCTATACTTCTCGTACAAATGTATAGTCGTTATGTTACTTCTTCTTATCTAACTGTTAGATTTGAATGAATGGTTGGGATGGATCCAATTATAATGTCAAGCCTCTATATTGTTTTATTTTTAATTTGTTTTCTATAAACATTTTGACACCAAAATTTGGGCATCACGTCCACTCCTCTCTTAAAAGCAAACCTATAAAAAAAAAAAAAAATCCCCATAAAATAAAATGACTAATATACCCCTAAAAATTTCAAGGGTATTTTGGGTATTTTATTTTATTGAAAATATTGTTTTTCTATTTGTTACCCCATTGTGATGATGACAAGTACCAAATTTTATATTCATATAAGTTGTAGAATAAAAAATAAAATAAAATACTTTGAGGCGTCGGATCTAGATCAAATGATCAATAACTTATTTGATCTAAATTGGATGGCTGGATAGGAAACTTTTATATAGTAGGGACAATATAAAAACCTTTCCCTTTTGAAAAATCCCCAATTCACTTTTATAAATGTTTTCTAATATCCATTAATATGAATGAATAGAGTAGTAGTAAAGTGTAAACGAATAAAAATTTCAACCTAAAAGCTACGAATATTATAGAAAAATGTTTTATAAATTTCTGTGAATTCCATCATCCAAAATATTAGATCTCTAGAATACGTCCTAGTTTTTGTTGATCTACAGCATACTACTAGTATAACAAAAGGAGAAAATTAATTTGCATGTTTTATCAATGCCAAAACACAAAAAGATCTGACTAATCTTGATGTCCAAGCAAGGAAATAATTAATATTTAGAAATAAAAAATAAATAACGCCAACAGTAAAAAGATATTTAAGTATTTACAAATTATAAAAAGCATCCATTTTTGCCAACTTCAACCATAAGAGTGGAGATTTGGATAATCACCAACCGTCAATATGTCTAAACAAAAATTAAGATATCAAAAAGGAAATAGCATAAATGTTCATATGTGTGCTAAAAAAAAAAAATTGAGATAATTCACAATAAAAAATATTTGGCAAAGAATTTAGAGAAATCAAAGTACAGCAAGACGCAAAGCTAGCTTTCTATGATCAATAATGGAACGATAAATTAAAACAAACCAACGCATATTTTTCATACATTTATCATAAATGTCCATGACAAAAATACCACTTAATATCATAGAGAAATATAGTGAGAAACATAAAATAAAATAAGGAAACTTCATCAACACAAAAATAAGAGAGCATATGAAAAGTCTCTCTCTCTCAAATATCATCAACCAAAGTAGATCTTTTTGGGATTCTTTTATGCCTGGATGTGGACAGACTAACCAAGAACTCTCTCAGGGACTGCCACTTTCTACCTCAAGGACTCTTACCCTAACATCTCATAGATAGAATGATCTTGGACTCTTATCCTAAAGCTCTCCTATACAAAATGATCTTTTATTGGCTTACAATCATGTGTCCTACCCTGCAGTAGCTTAATATGTGTAGAATAGGCCCTCTGTATCTGTACATGGGTCTTTACATGGGTCATTTGATCACATAGAAACGAGTTTGTATATTCCAGGCCGGCAACATGGATCGGCAGGGCTGGATAAATAGCAGGACCCACCAAAACACATGGATCAGCAGGGCTGGATAAATAGCAGGACCCACCAAAAAAAGAGTACCGCGCTCTCCCACCATCATCAGTCATGAAAATAATCTTAGGCTGGGAAATACCATGGTTCAGCTTCATCTTCTAGTTTTTAGAATAACATTATTAACAGCTGTATGTCCAAATTATAATATCATGAACAGCTTCCATCACAAAACCATTGAGATTTAGAATTGTACCTTAAGACTGAACCTCAGCCATATACGCACTTAACAATCTTGCAAAATATTTTGCATACGAGTAATAATCGATGTATTACATTTGCGCCCGAAACACATCCACCCAAGGACAAACAAAACTCACTCAAAAGTCATATAAATACATAAATTTCCATTTATTATTATATCAATTCCACTGTTTCTATTATTGTGTATCCTTAGAACCTCCAATTGGAAGTCATAGCAGTTCTGAACAACTCACGGATCTAGCTGCAACCTACTTCGATCAACTATATACATTCATGGACACACACAAACACCCTGACCCCTCTTGGGCCTTGGAGGCCAATAAAACTGGGATGAACACCAGGGCCCAGACTAAAGGCTAAACAAATCAAAATGAATTGCAAGTGAGAGAGAGGGGGGGTGGGGGAATTAGGGAGACATATATTCACACTGAATGAATAGGCAAAGCCAGCAGTCATGCAAGGCCATAGTTTAGCAGTGAGAACTTAACATGCAATCCCATCTTTCCCCCCTCGATAACAAGCTTGGCCGCTGTCACAAGCCAATGCCCAGGCACATCCTGGGGACCACGTGCCACCTCCCTTGTGTCCACAAACCTCAGCATCTTCTGTGCCTGTGCTGCCATAGGTGGTCCATCGGGATACACACCTGAGTTCAAGACAGGAGTGGGTCCCTGCTTAGGCGTTGATGCAGCGGAAGTAAATGTGGTGCTCAATGTGTACAAGAAGCTGGTGGACTTATTTGAGGCCACTGGTGCACAACCCCATACCGACTTGAGTATCTGGCAATTGGGTAAGCAAGTGAAATGCAAAGAGAGGTGGAGTGCTCGCTTGCCCTTTCCCTGTACCAGAAGTTGGGCACCTGTAACTATGAAGACGCCGTTGCAGTTATGGAGCCAGGCAGGGTCATATTTGATAGGGGCGGTGCACACGTGGGAGTACCTGTGCCACTGCAATGGCTCGAGGAAGTTGGCGTGGGTCTCATTGTTAGAGCTGCGCCAAAACGAGGATGGGGACGAGTCGGACCCACCCCGCATGGATTGGAGCACGTGAGGGAGGCTGGAGAGGTGTTGCACGTGTATGGCCAGCCTGTTGAACTTTTTTCCCTCAAGGAACAGCCTAAAGCCCACCACTGGTTTTCTACCACTGGAAACCTGGATGTTGGATTAAAGCAAAGGGTCAGGATTGGAGAGGATATAGGGAAAATATCAGTATAGTTCATGGAACACCGTTGCAGATCATGAATGTAGTTTAGCTGCAAACTCAAAATATCAGGATGGTACTTGGAACCATAAATTTTATGTGGTGGGAACATATAGCATACACCATTATCCATTCATTGATGGACAGTGGACATGCTGGAGGCCAGAACCTTTCGATAATACCATGTATTATTAATTTACTAGCCTCTCTAGTGTCCACCATCCCATCAATAAAATGATGGTGGATGCCCGTAGAGACAGTATGAACAGGATCCATTCATTGATGAAGAGTGGACATGCTGGAGGCCAGTACCTTTTGATAAAACCATGTATTATTGGTTTTACTAGCCTCTCTAGTGTCCACCATCCCATCAATAACCTGATGGTGGATGCCCAAAGAGACAGTATGAACAGTATTCCCCAAATGATCGATGTGTAAGAAATTTTATTTTTGGAAAATGACTATTTCAAAACTCATGCAAAACTAGGTTATCCGATATTTTAAACTAAGACGGGATAAAATAGTCATTCAAAACTATTTTAGGGATCAGAATGTGATCCTCATAGATCAAATTTACAAGCCACCTGTCTAGTGCAAACAGCCATCTGAAAATTTTCAGGTAGTCCCAGTACTATCCTTATGTTTCCCCTAAACAAAATTAGCCTCCTTTGTTGACTGTGTGGGGTATGGGACTAGGCAAGGGGCAGATGAATACATACCTGTGTTGTGTTGACATAGAGCTTGGGACCCATGAAGCTGAAACGCAAGGATGGGTAAGAGAGCTTCATCCTCTGATGTCCGAGAGGCAACTCATAGATTGGTGCCCACTGTTGAGGGACTTGGAACTCCAAGAAATACTGCAAGTCCTCCAGGGCCGGTTTGTCTAAAAACCCAAAGACTTGCATGTCACAATCTAGAGAACAGTCATCATGAAATAATAGAAAAAAACTCTCAATGCGCAAAACATATTTAGCATTTTACCCTGATAGCTAGAGATTCCCAGAGAATTTAAGGTATATTATGCAATTAACCCAGGCAGTTCTTATAACTTGTGAATTTTCATTCCGATTGAGTAACAATGGTTAGATTAAAAAGGGGACAAAAAATGGCGCTTCACATTCAAAAGAATGGCAATCAAGGGCTGCATACTCACAGCGCAAATATAGGTTGATTGCATGGCTAAGGTAACCACTGCCGGGTATGCCATTCAAAAGAGACATTATAGGGACAAACTTGAAGAATACAGCTTCTGGGTTTGCAGGCACTGTTTGCAACCACTTGTAATGGCTGCCTAGAGATGTGTTCCCTCCCTGTTTTGAGCATATGATGGTAAGACCCTGTTCCAAAACCAATGCAGTTTAGTTCTTTTATTAAAACATGTTCTTATTCCTTGTAAATACAGGGGCATCTACACTTACATCCTTGCTCAGCGGCGCAGTAAGGCCACCAGAGTGCACACTGTTCGATTGTAAAATGTTGCTGAACACCTCAGGTACCTAAAACAATAAAAAGGAAATGGAGCATAGCAGAGAGACATACTAATAAGAAAACCAAATACAGCCCTAGAAAATAAGCTAACATAAATGAAACATTTGAGAATTGTCCGTCCAAATCAGGAAGATTGAGTAACAGTAGGATGAGAAAATGTGCAATTACCTTGTACTTGCTCTCTCTGCTTTTCCTATGTATGGGAGAAAGGTTCTTGCAATCTGAAAATATGTAATCCCCAAGACTTTCCAGATGTCCCTTGAGTTCGGCAGGGGGAATTGAAGATGACGAACTCTGCCTCACACAGACCAAATCCTGACCACCCACAGCCATTCCCACAATTATGTGTGTCCCATAGGTCTGGATGAAGCTGCAACAAACCAATTAGGGACAAAGTTAAAATTAAACAGATCACTATAGTAGGTTCCCATTTAGACCCGATAGAGTTGCAAAAATTACTCGAAACCTCAACCAAAAAAAAAAAAGAGTTAAACGCAGGTCTAAGCGACAGAAATCCAGGTGAGGGAGTGACATTGCTACAGTCCTGCTGTTAAATGAGGCTGTGTATTGTAAGTGTGATGCCTTTTGAACTAGGTCTTTTTTGGCTTTTTTCTTTCCTCCTTCCCCAAATTGGCATTTGGATTTTCGCTTACCCCTCCCACAATCCAAATCCCTTACCCTTTTAATCCCTCTCTCTCCCCCCCTCCCACCCTCCCATTAACCTTCCCTCCCTTTCTCTCTCTTCCCCATGAATTTTGGTGCCTGTCCCCTTTCTGTCTCTACCCCATGAGAGAGAATAGTTAATGGAGGAGAGGGAGAAAGGAGGAAAGGTCACAGGGAAGAGGGAGAAAGGTTGGGAAGGGTTCATGGGGGTAGAGAGAGAAAAAGGGGGGGTGAAGGAAGAGAGAGAAAGGGGAAGAGTGAGAAAGGGGTGGGAGTGGGGGTATATAATGGGATTAAAAGCAGGGAAAGGGATTTGGACTATGGGGGGGATAGTGAAAAATAAAAGGGCAATTTGGAGAAAGAAAAAGCCAACAAGGGGGTTAGGGGTTCTTTGACCTTTTTTAAAAAATTTAGTGGGGGGCCATGGGCTACCCATCGACCCGAGAGTGTATATAGGACCATAAGTTTAGATTTTGGGGGGTTTACATTTTTTCCCAAATGACAATTATCAAACCCAACAAAAGTAGCTACAAAAGCCAGCTCATCTCACAAATAGTCAGCAACATTGATTTTCTAATAATTTGAGAACACACTATTTAAAGTAAACTAGCTCGTACAGGTGGTTATCAAACTTTCAGAAGTCATACTGACGTTCTTTTTGTGTGTGGGTGGAGCAAAAACTTCATTCCTATATTTTGGTAGTCGCACAGAATCATTAACTATCAAAAAGAAAATGATAGGTCAGGGAAAAGGAAAAGAGTGATGACCTGTGTGGATTGGAACATGCATATTTGCTAAATTATTGATTAGCAGTTTCTTTTAAATGTGTTGCATTTATGATTTAGAGTCCTTCAGTGGGTCACTAACAAAAGGTAGCAGATGTAGCAAACAGTACATTCTGCACACTGGAACCCCAAACTACAGGGTCCACATTCTGGCAATGGACATGGAATAAAACAATTAAGAATATGATATTAAAGCAGCAGCTGACCTTGATAAGGTAGCAGGCTCCCAATTAGGTGGAACTGCTTTCTTCACTTCCTCTCGAAGGACTAATGCAGATACTGTTAAGTGCAAGTTGTAGAGCGAGATGAAGTATCCATCAAAAGCAAGATGTTTTGTGTCCTTTGCATCCTCCAACCAAATACCACTAAAGTCAAAGATAGCATTGAAGTATCCTGAAGGTATTTTCCCAGGTATAGAAGACTTCTGATTGAGTAATTCAGACATCTGCCAGTGAAAACGAATATTAGACTAAAAATACCAAAAGCTCTATATTTGTTTAAGAATCTCTAGTAGAGGAAAAGAACTCAGTAGGCAGATATGAATTTGATGACTCAAAAGCAGGCAGTTCTATAAATCTAATGATCCATAGCAGGGAAGCTTGGGAAGCAGTATGGTTATCGGGGAAAGGAAACAAATAAGATACATAAAAGAATCAATATGTAAAGATTTAACAGCGAAAACTTTCCTTTCCTTTTGACAGGTAAGCTGGGCTCATCCTAGAACCTTATGGCTGCTGACAAACCAATTGCCTTATGGTTGAACAAGACTAGAACCCCAAGAATTATCAAAAGCATAATCAACAACCACCATTGCAGCAAAATGTAACTGTAAAACAACGGAAATCTCTGTTGTAGTATAGTAGAAATATCTTAACGATCATGTTTATTTTCTTTTGGACGGAATCTTTAATAATCATCTTTCACTTGGTAATCATCCATTGAATCTTTATGGCTAATTTTCGCACAGAAATCAGAGAACTAGCAAAGATACCCAGGAGGATATAGACAAGTCCAATGGAAATTGTATGTTCCTTGGAATAGAAGTAGCAAGCTTATCAATTCTAAGAGGATCACACTTGGTGGATCAATTTAGTGCTACCCAGATGAATAACTTGTAAAGGAGGAAAACATATTTCGATGTGGCAAATTATAATTACTTAGGAAGAATACAAGCATCAATGAATGCAGTAAACACCATATAATAGACACCCTCACTATTTTGGTTTATCCATCATATTGAATTAATAGAGCAAGAAGATTCCTCTTCTCTAGATGCACTGCTACCCCTGCCAAACCCTGCCAATCTCTCTTCCTCCCTCCTTATCAGCTTGCTCTCATGCTCCGAAAATGCTTTCTTGCTCATGCCTCTTTCGCACTCCCTCTCTCGAATTGAGAGGAGGAAGCTCGACTCATTGCCCACCTTCAATCTTTGGAAGCTCCACCATTAACCCACAATTGCAGCCATTAGCAACCCCTACCTCTACATCCTCCCCACGTTGCCATCCACTAATGGATCCCAAATACAACCCATTTTTTCTAGTAGCGATCCGAATTGGAAGTATGGTCATAAACGGAATCCAAAAGAAAAAATTATATAAGGTGTAACCCTTGTGAAAAAGACACCAATGGGGAATAAATCAAGAAACAACTTGCTGATATTATGGCTGATGTTGCCGCTTGGAAAAAAGTCCCTGAAGCTATTAGGAAGGATTAGACAATATTTGAATATGGTAAAACAAAAAAAGAAGAAAAGGAGGCCTGAATAGCAGATATAAGGGCTGGTATTCACGCATTTGATGATGGGTGAGATCATACCCACTGTCTGGGTATGCAAGGGAATCTACTCCAAGATCTTTTCACAAGATCAATCTCTTTCTTTTTTCTCCAATTTTTTTCCCACCCCTTTCACCCTCATCCATTGATGTTCTCCTGATGTAAATGTGATTTGATTCTTCTAGTTGTTGGCTGATGCCAACCACGAAAGATGAAGGCGTGAAGTCCTGCTTCTGAGTTATCGTCACTATCGGAATCCAGTTCCAATGGATTTTTTGGATTCTATTGTGGATGATGGGCACTTTCCTCCATAAAAAAATAATACAATCACAAATCACAATCCATAATCTAGAGTCCATAGACCATAGTTCAAAGTTCATACCATCCTGTAATCCATAAACATAAGATGAAATAAGAAAAAATAAATAAATGGAGTTGATGACTCAAGAGTCTTTAGTCAGCATCAAAAAAGTGGAGGCAACATCATCATATGCATCAAAGTCAAGTCCATCATCATCAGAATCATCTCCCTCTTCAACATAACGCTCGTCCTCCTCTATTTCTCCTAAATCTACCTCCTCCTCCTTCTTCCTCCATCCCTGTCCTCCCTATAAGCTGATCTAGTAGCCTTAGGATGGTTGGCTACTCAACCTAATGTCTTTAAAACTATATCCCATGTCAATCCCTCATGCCCTTTGACTTCATCCTCGTCAAACAACAGCTCCGTAGCATTCTCCATGTCCTTCAATTTGAGGGGGTCTCTTTTATCACACTCAGCAAATTTTTCCTTTAATCTTGAATTGTACTTGACATAAACTAAGTTATTTAGCCTTTTTTATTCAAGCTTGTTTCTTTTCTTTGCATGAATCTATATGAAAACACATACACAAAAGGGTGAGGTTTGTATAAGGTGTCAACCTTAAACAATCACAGTACGGTGCACCTCAAAGTCTCATTAAAGGATATATGTTTAGTGCCAAAGCTCTTATTATGGCCTAAAAGTCTATTTTTCACCCATAAAATGAAAGCTCCGAAAATGGTGCAAATCTATGAGCACTCAAAAATCTTAGAAATAGACGGTCTAGATAATGTGTTACAAGATGCATTATTTTTAGGACTTTAAATTCATTTTTTCTTTCATATCCTTATATATCGAGGTCAATATAATCAATTGGAGAATTTTCTAGTGATGAAACAACCTTTTTCGATGGGTTTTTGAGGTGCACTTTACTTCTACAGTATAAGGTTGACACCTTATATAAACTTTTTTCCTACACAAAAAATCAAAATATATTGTATAATAATTACTAATTACTGAATTATTATTTAATTATTTAAAAAATTAATACTTAAGAAAGCACATAAATAAAAGTCTTACGGTAAAAAAGGTATACTTAAACTAAAGTAACAAACCATTTAAAAAGCGAAAAGCTAAGGCTCTAAACAATCAAATTAAAGCCCACCTCAAAAATTTCAGTAGAAGAGGTTGTTTTGATGCCCAAATATCCTCAAATTGATCATCTCGACATCCAGATGAATGGACATGAGAAGAAAACGGATTTCAAGTTTTGGAAATAGTGCATCTTGTAATGCATTTTTGGACCGTCAATTTACAAGTTTTCATAGATCTGTTTGATCTACACTATTTTTGAAGTTTTAAATTTTATAGTTAAAGATGAAAAAATATTTTAAGGCTATCACAAAGATTTCCAGTACTGAAACCACATTTCTCGACACTATTTGAAGGCGCACTTTACTTTGATTGTTTAGAGCCTCGGCTCTATACAAACCACACCCTTTAAAAAATGCACCAGTTCCACTCACAACCAGATGAGCTAGTGGTTAGGCTTAAGATCAAAATGGCCATCTTTTGTAAGTTTGGAGCATCACACCCATGTTGGCTTTGCCAATGGGCTGCAAATTGAGTGGAATCTCTATAGTTAATTATGAATTATGAGTTAATGAATTATGAAATGAAACATCAATTATGAAACTTAAAGTTAAAAAGTTGAACTGGAAACTTAACAATAAGTAATTGAAGCAAATACAAATTTAAATATATTACTTAGATCAGCATCGGTCCTTTGCCCCTACCACCATGGCGCGTCCAAATGATTTCAATGCACGTTTGTACAGTTCCTCAATGCATAACTGATCTTGGATTTCTTACTAGGTATGAGGCTCTTATGATTAGGTGCAATCACAGTTTTATCATTTGTCTGAGCATCCATATCAACATAAAGAAAAGTTAGGTTCAAATAATAACCAGCTGCATGTAATGGTTTGTGTAGCTTCTATTCCACTTCTCATCAACAAACTCCCAAACTAGCTTATGGGGAAAAAATAATCCATAGGCCCCTTCCCTAGAGACCTATTAGGCCCAGACCCAATTGCAATGCCCTTTCCTCTCCTAGATTGGGAAAAGGCCACCTGATCCACCCCAGCATCCCCCGCATCCTCACTCTCATCTTTTTGTTTTATTTTATTTTATTTTTATGGTTATTATTTTTCTCCCTGCATCAGGTGGTATCAGAGCCTTGCGATCAAAGATTCATACACCATATGGAGCGTTTGGATCAATTGGATCAACAATTCGATAGACACATGGAAGACCTTCGCAGATCAATACAACAATATCTACAAGATCGACTTAGTATATTGCAACAAGAGGAACAAGAATATGAAGAGGTAGACCTTTATACAAAAAATGATATTGATAACACAAACATGCAAGAAATTTTGAAAATCAATTATGAAGAAGAAGATATGCATGATGCAGTATTTGAAATCCAACCCTGCAAGTCTGAAAAAGAAATTAAGATTAAGCTTGAGATCCCAGGGTTTTACTTCGAGTTGCACACAAAGTATTTGATGAATTAGTTTATTGAAGACAAAAATACCGAGAAGAATGTTGGGACTGCATCATCAACTTTTGAGAAGGCCCCTGAAAGATTTAAATTCAACAAGCTCGAGGTTGAGCTTCTCCCAACTTAGGGAGAATGATGTAAATAAAGAAACGATTTTTAAATTTTTTTATTTTTTTATTTTCTAGGATTTACAAAATATATTATTTCGATTTTTAATTTTCTTTAAGGATATTCTTGTTTTTTTTAATTGTAGAGATTTAAGAGATAGAATTAGAAGTTCAGTTTTTAATAAAAAAATGGATATGGATATGGATTAGCAAGGCTAGGTTGGCTAGGATATGGATTAGCATGGTTAGGTTGGTGAGAATGGCATGGGACCTTGGCGGTACTATTGCCGAGCCCCACGATAAGGTATCTGACTCTATTCTTACTAAAGGGTAGGGGCCTAAATCCCCACTGACTTCCACTTTTCGAGAATGGCTAATATTGCCGAGCCCCATGATGAGGTCTCTGACTCCATTTTCACTAAAAGGTAAGGGCTCAAATCCCCACTGACTTACCACTTTTCTTAACTTACCCTTTTTTTTCTTTTCTTGTTTTTGTTTTAAGAGATAAGGGAGAGATAGAGTATAGTTTTCTATGCTTAATTTATTTTTATTTATTATTCCTTTTAGTTTGTATTTATCGGGAAGATGTCCATTCTTTGTAGATAGTGATTAGAGAATACAGAAAGAGTTTGATCTTGTGAAAAGATCTACGGGTGGACTCCCTTACAGACCTAGAGAGATGGTATAATCTCTCAACCCTTTTTATTTTATTTTATTTTTCTGTTTATTATTTTTCTCCCTGCATTAGACTAAGACACAAATTCTTCTATATCCACAGCATGCTAGTACCAAAATGATATGATAACACTACCAATACTGAATAAATCTATATAAATATGAAAATTATGCATTGTAAATCAATATTATGATGTTGACAGGAGTGTTTTAAAAATCAGCAAGTTAGCTTGGAACTTGGGTCAAAGTCAACTTGACTCAAAACCCTTGTGAATCCCATGTAAATATCACAAGACTTGGTCGAGTCTCTGTAAGTCGACGTGCCTAACTTGGACTAAGGACCCTAGTGAGTACTGACATGGTTCTTGGTCCTAAAAACTGGTTTACAATAATTTGTAGTACTTAATTATAATGTGAATATTGCAATAATTAACCTTTTTAAAAGAATGACTATTGTAAAATATACAAGTAATGTGATATAGTTTAAACATAATTTACTGTCATGCGCATGAAACATCATACTAGGTTATTGCAGTAGAGAGACACTAGTAAGAAAATATAACAATTTATAGGCCAAATTGAGCGCAAGTCATTGTGGCAATCTTCATGAGGAATTTCAGATTTCTTATGTCAAAGATTGTGCCAGTAGTTTTCGAGTTGGGACAGAAAGTATTGGTCGAGTGATGTTCCTCTAGAGGTGAAAAAGCATTTATTTTTCCGAAGCAGTCATAATGTGATACACTTGAATCAGAACAAGGTAAGTCCATGAGCAGTTAACCTAAATAATTAAATTGAAACTCAAATTGTGCTGGGAGTAGCACACACTCCAAAACACCCATGAGAGGAGTACAACCAGAACGGCCCTGTTCCAATAAAAGATTATGTTTAGAACAATATCACATCCATCTGAATTTTCACTAGAGAGAGTATTTCACAATTGAAACAATCCACAACTTATAAGTAGTATGATCACGAGTTAAGGATATGTGAAAAGAAAATAAATATAACCAGGCCTAAACTCTAAGAACCAATCTCCAACATGAAGGAAGATCAAAATGAATTAAAAGATCTAGTATTGCAAGAAACAGGTCGACCAAAGGTAAACAAATGAGAAAGAACGCCAAATCGATATATTCAAAACAGAAAAGAGATCATCATTCCATAACTGGTTAAACTACAATCTGAAGGAAAGGAATGAGAAAGGGACTACCAAACCAACAAATTTCAACAGACCCAGAAAAAATTAAATACCTGGTTAAACTCCAACACATCAGACCTGAACCTGAGTCTGTCACCCTTATCGCACTTAATATCGGACGAAACATTGCGAATTGTTGGACCTCCTGGAATCGAAATATCCCGAAGGTTTTGGTCATCCAGCTCCACCAGCCTCTCGAGACCCTTGGCAAATTTGAGCCTGAAATCGCACGTCAAATCAAACCCTCGTCCCAGTGACTCCACCGCCCTGACACCCACCCCCTCCACTCCTTCCATAAAGAGAGAGGAGACAGTAAGACAGAGACCGGCAAGCAAATCTGTAGTGAGAGAGAGAAAGAGAGGTGCAAGAATGTCACAAGCTTGATTCTAGTCTTCTAGAGAGAGAGGCCGTGAGGAGTGCATGTAATGGAGCGGTTGATCATAGGAAGGAGAAAGCTCTGTTAAAGAATGAAGATCTTCGTTCAAATTTGACGGCCATTTGAACGTGGCAGCCATTGCAGCTGAACATGAGGGAGAGGAGAGAGAAAGAGAAGCAAGGGTTTGACCGAGAGGAGACATGAGAGTGGCGAGGAAGACCACAATGGTTGCGTTGAAAGAAAACCAACCCACTACCACAATTACTAAATTTCCACTTGGAAACGTAGCCTTCTCCTGCACCTGCTGTCAACGCAAGCGAGCGCTCGGACTCTGTGATCGAACGAATAATCGGGGCGAGTGAGTACTCGCCTGAGCTATCAACGGACACCCCTAGCTTCGCGATTCCGGGTCGGGCCTGTGTAAGATAGCTAACGGGTTTCGAGCCGGGCATTCAAGGGCCTGCCTAAAAAAGCTCGGAATTTTACCCAGTGGGCTGAACTGGCCCGATAAGCTTAAAAATGTCTTGTCGGCCTCAATAGGTCCCAGTCTAAATAGCCCGGCGGAGCCCATTTAACACGCCTTACTCTTTTTTTTTCTTTTCAAAATCTTCAGTCAACAATTTTATTGTTTGTAGTAAAGAAAAAGTAAAATAAAAAATCAATACATGCTAAAATATTTCTCCTTAGAAACTAACCGTTTTTCTTTTTAAAAACTTATTTTCTCTCTTTAGAACCCAATCTTTCTTTTTCTTTCTCTGAAAAATTATTCTCTCTCAAAAAACTCCAACTCATTTCAAGTAGACAACCTAGATTTATTTTAAAAAATAATAGTAATTTTATATTTGTCATAATATCACGGCTATAAAATGGGACTGTTTCTTTATCGAGATTTTGCCTAAAAAAAGAAAACTTTTTTATTTTGATTTTCCTTTTACTTTATTTTGCACGGGCATTGAGGAGCATAATAGATTTGTCAACCATTTGCGCGTGTTTAGACTTTTGAGAGCCCTGCTAAGAATAGGTCAGACTATTCTATTTCCTTACTGGGCACAGGCCGAACTTTGGACAAGAATAGTCCGGACCAATGGTTTAAAAATCGGATCGGTGACTCGGATCGGGCTTTTCAAAAATCGATCCGGTTCGGCGAATCGGCGATCTGGATCGGCGAATCGGCGATCTGGATCGGCGAATCGGCGATCCGGATCGGAATCGGGTGAATCAGTCAGAATAAAGCTTCAAAAAAATCCGAAAAAATTATTAAAATTCATTATAAATATTGGTTTTTAGGAATTCAATAAAAAATGAGGGTACTCCATTAAGAATTTTCATGTTTTTGAATGAATATGCGAATATTGATATGTTCTTTCCCTGCATGAACTGCCATTCAGCATTTAATTTACAGTATTTCGTGCTCATCCCTACACTGTTGCTGTTGGGACTCGATATGTGAATTATATGGATGGGATAGGGTGGCCTCAAAATCATCATCTCTCTCGTTTTCTCTTTGAATAATATGGATTAAAAAAAAAAAAAACAAATTTTCAAAAAAATCGATCATGGATTAAAAAAAAAAATCAAAAATTTTCAAAAAATTCTATCATGGATTACAAAAAAAAATTCGATCATGGATTAAACA